CAGCTCCCAGCTCATCAGCCCCAATGTAGGATGCACTAGAAGTCACTTGGGCATGCTGACACCAGGCTCTGAACGCACTCTCATGCTAAATGCATTCTCGTTCCACCTTCACAGAACTTAGGAGGAAGATGTAATTTTAGACATTTCTCTCAGGAAAAAACCTGCAGCTGCCAAGAAACACTAGTTAAAGAATAATGTGAGGTGGGGGAAGGATTTCTAATCATCCTTATTTTGCACTTGATAGAACTTAACTTTTGTTAATAATAAACAATAAATGTTGCTTTCATGTTCCTGTGCATTAGGTACACAGCCAAGACATCATTTACTTCCTCAAACACAACAAAATTTGTGTTTCTGAACAACAAAAAGTGTTGTTCAGAAAAACTAACAGAAGACATCAGTAAAGATAAGCTTTTCATATTCATTAAATTTGAGTAAATCTAAATCTACTTCTTCATTGAGAGATACGCAGAAGAACAAGCTAGAGTTGTGCGTGCAGCAGAGCCCTCACAGAGCTATTCTTAGTTACAGGAAACATCAGAATCATTACAATTAAGATCTCTCATTTGGAGCTACTTCCAAGATATTGCAGCATAAATCTTCAGTCTGAACAGCTTTATTAGTGTTCTTTTAAATATAATTAATAGCTAGAAGCAAAGAACTCACAGCCAGTCAGCCAGCCAGCCGAGCTCTGCTCTGTGTGACAGCAACAGGGCCCAAGGGAACGGCATGGAGCTGTGCCAGGGGAGGGCAGCTGGGGGTCAGGGAAGGGCGCTGCACCACAGGGTGGGCATGGAACGGGATGCACAGGGCTGTGGGCACGGCCACCAGTATCAGAGATCAAGGAGCGTCTGGACAGTGCTCTCAGTTTGATTTTGGGCGGTCCATGCAAGTCTCTTCCAACTCAGGATGTTCTCTGATCCTATGATTACTGGTAAACTTTATGGACAAAAGACAAGCAGTGTGATCAGGGTGGAGGTATGTAGGGATGGAAGTGCCCAAATATCTTTCCTTGCACATTCATCAGAGTGATGGGGTCCTCCTCTCATTGCTCTCCATTCCAGTTACACCAGTAGGCTGCGAAATCATCCTTTGGAAATAATCTCTCCTGATGAAAATGGTCTCAGGACCCTTGTACTGCCTAATTTCTTGTCTGGTAGCATGGGATGTGGGTTCAAGATGTAGGACTACCTAAAAATGTAAGTATATTTGTAGACATAATCTGTGAGACAATCAATTAGGAATTACCAATTATTTCAGTGACCCCTCCAAGATGGCCTGTCTGAATTGCGAGAAATTTCAACATGGAGTCAAAAATAAAATAAAACAACAACAGGAAAACAGGATTCATCATTTATATTTTTACAGTACAACCCTATAAATGGTGTTCCTCATGCACTCCCCAGACTTCGGTCAGTTATGGAAATTTTATCAGCAGTTCATCATGAAAGCACAACCTGAACTCCACATCTATCTCCAAACTCTACTCCTACTATAAATCAGTATCTACATAATAGATGTTTTACATAGGTATTTCCAATTACTTCACAGTGGTGTATGTTTCTGCTATTTTCATTTACAGAGGAGGAAAGTAAGGAAGATTAAAGCAAGCCTACAAACTTGCCCGAGTGAAATACACGAAGAGTCTGAATTTCCAATCCAATGGTTCATTAAACAGAATGCTGATATAACAGCATGCCAAATATCTTTCCTTGCACATTCATCAGCCACAAATGAAATCCAGTTGTCATCCACTCTGTTCATATTAGTATAATGGAAGGGGAAAAGTGTATTTCATTAATGCTACTATTCATGTATACTGCCTTGAGCTTTCAGAGAGTTGAGAAGGATACAGACAACACAGAAAGAAAAGCACAATGTTTTGACACCACTTAGTGGTGTGAATTTTCACTGGAAAGTACTGCAGCTTATGAGCATGGACCACTTCATGTAAGAAAACACAAATGCAGCATCAAGAGAAGACAACATTCTTGATGGATATAAACAAGCTATCTGCTGTTTTTTAAGGTCACTTACAAATGTTATTTCTGCTGGGCTTCCCTGCTGCTGAAAGTCTTGCTTATTAGTGCACATGCAGTCATCCAGCTATCTAGAACTTATTTAAGAGTTGCCAACTGGTCCAAAAGGACAACTCTTTGGATAAAGCTGCACCTTAGGACATCTGCTTGCATTCGTGTGATTTTTATTTTGTCTTTTACTTGGCCAGCAAGCAACCTGAGGGCAGGTAGTGCCTTTTTTAGACAGCCTATGGGACATCCAGGTCAGCCTTCTCCACACACACAGTACTGGTGCACTTGGCTTCAGAGGACCGGTACACACAGAACTAAGGACAGAAGGGGATCTTGCACATGCTTCTACAAAAGTAGTCACCTAGGGTTAAGGGGCAGACAGCAAGCTGCATTAAAAAAACAAACACAAACAAATACCAAGAAAAGCCTCAGCTGACACAAGAGGCCCCACCCTTGGCAATACAGGCCACCAGCTGTTTTAGGGGCTTGGAGATGGCTCCCTGCCTGCTCTGCAGTCCGCTCTAAGAGAGAGGAGCTCTGAACAGGAATCAAGGCACTAACTGCAATGCCAGGTTTATTACAGCCTGCCATACAAACTCAAATGCGCAACGACTGCAGAACCAGGATGCTGCACTCACCAAAGGACCCCTCGCCCCACAATGACAGAGCTACTCGTCCCACAACCAGACTTCCATCTGCTCATTTTTAAATACATATTTATGTTTAAAAGCGTATCACATGTCTATATTGTTTTTCATTTATTTACATCTCATACAGGTTTTGAAAACAGCTCTATAAAATCACATATGCTTCAGATGACCTTAATGACATCTCTGCACCCAACAATGTCCTATTCTAATACAAAGCTGCTTTTTTAATGCAGCATAACCACTTCCCACTACTTTTGTTATGTATTAGCTTCTCCTTACAGCTGTCTATTAAACATGTAAAAACACAGGTACAGCAATCTTACACCATGCAGTGCTGAGGAATTTCACTTCCACATACCTAGATCATTGAACAAGCAACATCCCTACATTCAAGTGTAGACTCACCTGGCACTACAACGTCACTGGTGTTCTGCCTGAGCTACACATAACAAGAACTTATGTTTTTTTCACAGCTCTGAAAACCAGAAAAAAAAAAGAAATGGGAAGGTCTCTAAGGGAAGGCAAAAAGGAATCTGAGGAGGAAGAGTCAATAAAGACTCTCTTTAGTGCCTAGAAAATAAATAATAAAAAAAAATTTGTACACTTCTCCAAGGTAGCTTTTGGGTTATGGTGCACAAACATTCTGCACTGAAAATTCTAGTTGTATCAAATTATGAATTCAAGAACTGATTAAACTACTTCTGATGTCTGAACAACAATCCAGTAATAAGAATAAGCACTTTGTCTGGCTCTAGAATAGACTCTTTGGCTTTGCCTACAAGAAGGTATTCATCTCCTAGTAACAGATCATTAAAGTATATGCACATATCATCTGTATTCAAGGCAGCCACACACATATGCATCCTACTGAAACTATTTTATGAAGCTATTTGAGTTTCCTTATGGATTTTCTGTTACCTGCTGTGCACAGTTACAAACGGTGACAGAGAGGAGAAAAAAACAAACTATTAACAGTTTCACTGGATTTCATAGCAAGAATAAAGATTTGAACAAAGATCACATTTTCCTCTGTAAAAACAAAACCAAATATCACAAAAGAAAGGGAGCGTGAAACCTTAACTCAGTATTAGAGTTCATAAATAGAGCTGTTGATAGCTTGAACTGTTTGGAGCCTCTGACATTAAGTATAAGGGGGAAACTGGACTTGCAAATGACTGAAAGCTGAAACAAGCAGACTATTGTGTGGACAGCTTGAAGATGATATGCAAGAAGCGCGTTTTTGACTGGAGAACTTCCATTTGGCCTTTCAGAAAGAAAGAGAAGAACAGGATATTAGCATCCTCTGCAAACTAATTGAAGACTAACATTGACATAAACCGCAAAGTAAGGCATTCAGTCATCTTCCTAAGAAAATAAAGGGAACTTGGCAGCACAGCGGTCCTCCGAGAAATGCCAGGATAGAAACCTCTGTTGTCCTTGTTGACTTAGCAGCTGATGCGTCCAATACCTTAATGTTTTGTAAAGAAAAAACACAAATGCGTGCTCCAGCATCTATCACTCTGGAAAGCAGATAGCTGCAACAAGCCAGCAAAAACAACACAAAAACTAACTTGGACTCAAACACCATCGCCATGCCACCTCGTGCCCCTACACAGCCAGAACTACCGCCGCAGTGAGGACAGCTCAGGCTGCAAAGCACAGCACCACAGTGAGCATAACTGCCCCACAGCTGGGAATTGTTTGACACCTTCCCCACTTGTTTTCTCTGCAGTGCCAATCTGCCATAAGGCACCTGCGCTTGGGCGCACACCTCACCCCCTCCCAGGCTCTGCTCTGACCACAGATCTTTGCTGACCACACCTGTTGAGTGATGACCGCACAGCTCCGCTTTACACCGGCTTCACCTGCACAGCCTGCAAGGGCAGCAACCTCTAACTTGACGAGACGCAGCTGCTTTAGAAGAGCGGGCACAGACAAACGTGGATTTTCTTCTGCCATAAAAGCGGGCCTATGTTTCCGCTTATTTCCAGTTTTGCTAAAACCCGCTCAAACAAGCAGAAGTAAAACAAAGTAAGGTTGTACCCCAAGCACCGGGCGCACAAGGACCCGGCCCCATTTACTGTCCCAGTCGTTACACTGAGACGAGCCCTCTCCATGCCCAATGCCACACAGACACCAAATCCCGACGAAACGCTCCGCCGCGCCCGCTCACCCCGATCCCCATTCCTAGACGGACGAGACCCGCACGGCACAAAGCGCTGCGGCCCGGCCGCTTGCGTGGGGTCAGCGCCCGCCTCGGGCTCCGCCGCCCGGGATCCCACTCCCCCGAGCCGCCCGCTGCGCGCCGCCCCTTCCCTACCCTCGTACTCCCGGCTGGGGCAGGCGGCCAGGGTGAGCAGCGCGGCCAGGCGCAGGCAGCGGCTCGCCATGCTGCGCGGCGGCGACGGCCCTTCCCGGCTGAGGGCTGCGCGGCAAAGGGGCAGGAGGAGGAGGAGTGGGACGGAGACATCCTCGGAGCGGGCTCCCGGGCTCCGCCGGAGACTCCTCCTCCTCCTCCCGCCGCCGCCGGGGCGCGGAGACCGCTCCGCCCCTCTCCGTCCCGCCCCGCGGGGCCCGGGGAGCAGTGGGGACAGTGGTTGTGCAGATGGGCTCGAAAATCGTGAGCAGAGCCTTGAATCGTGAGGTTAAGAAGAGAAAGGTTGGAGTCCTTGAACTTGCCTTTGAGCTGCTGGGGTGTTCGGGGTCACGCTGTCAGAGTTCCTCCCATAACCACAAAAGCTAGAGGCATTTTTTCCCCTTCCAGATTAAAGCAAATTCCCTCAGCAGCCTTAGCCTACAGAAGTGAGGGCTGTAGGCAAAGCATCAGATGTTCCAACGCTTTTGATTGAAGTTTGAGTTCTGTCAGCCCTGCAGCTTTAGTACAGCTAGGTATTGGCTTTTTTTTTTTTCTTTCCCCTCCCATTTTTCTGTCTGTTAGAGGCAGTACATTCTATGTCCAAAAGCAGCTGAAGGTGCAGTAAAGCTCTGGCCTAGCTAAAGCACTTCTGGGAATTGCACAGCAGGACAGGACAAGGGGATCACAGAATCATAGAATCACAAAGTGGTTTGGGTTGGAAGGGACCTCACAGCCCACCCACCCCAACCCCTGCCATGGGCAGGGCTGCCCCCACCAGCTCAGGCTGCCCAGGGCCCCATCCAACCTGGCCTTGAGTGCCTCCAGGGATGGGGCACCACAGCTTCTCTGGGCAGCTGTGCCAGCGCTTCACCACCCTCTGGAGAAAGAATTTCTCCCTAATATCTCACCTAATTTTCCCCTCTTTTATTTTAAAACAGTTCTCCCTCATCCTATCTCTATCAGAATGTGTAAAAAGTCAGTATCCATCCTATTTATAGGCTCCTTCTGGAAGGCTACAATGAGGTCTCTCCAGAGCTTTGCTTCTCCAGGCTCAGCCCAGGAGGGCTTCTTGGGTCTCACCGTGGGCTGCACTATTTGCAGCAAAGCACAGGCACTAAGTAATGGAACGGTTCTTTAAAGACATGACACATTGATTTTCAGGGGGAAGACTGTCATCTAAAAGGAAAATGGTAATCTGGAGACCGAGCAAGAATTAGACAATGATTTTGCCTACTTTTGAGCCTTAGACAAAAGCAGCTTAAGAAATGGACACTCACTATTAATTACAATAAAAGCCTGGATGGGGGCTGGGTTTGGGAGCTTCCTCCCGGATGTTTTCTAATTTCTAATCAGAGCAAAGCACTCCTCTGCACCCCAACTCACCATACCTGGCATCATACTGAGCCCTGCCCCAGGAATGCAGTCCTGGGCACAGTGTGGGCGCTGGAACCCCAGCGCCAGCTGTTCTCCCATAGGATCCTGCTCTGCCAACTGCAGATGCAGCTGGAGTAGGCTGGTCTGTGATATTCAGGTTTTAAATTTTATCACTTTAAAACTAAGGTTTTAAATTTTATCACTTTAAGACTAACTAAATGAGTGAATGAAAGGAGCAAAAATGATGGTAGTGCCTTCTAGTACTAAATTGCAGTTTATCAACTTATCAGAAAGAAGAGATATCCATGTGAAATGTGACTAAAAAGACCAACGTTACTCTGTTTGGAAATGGAAGAATAAGGAAAAAAGATTGCTTTAGGCTATTATTGTTGGCACAGATGTCATAGGAAAGATTAAAGTTAGAGGTCTGTAATAAATAGTGATAATCTCTGCAATTTATCTATGCAGCAAGGTAGCAATTCAGCACAAGAAGATGCAATTCTGCAATTCGGAGGTGTGCATTCATTCAGATGTGGTTTGGCTCCAGAGTTCTCTGTGCAATGTAACACTTATTCTGTGCCTTGGTCAGGATGGCAGTTATAGAAAGTCTCCCAAAAGACTGGGCCTTGAAAGACAAGTTGAAAACAGTTTAAAAAACCTTTTTTTTTTTTTTTCCCCCCTACATTGTAACAAATCAGATTTTTGTAAAGTCATTTTCTTAAGGGAGCTTTTCATAGGAGAAAATGTTTGGTACTGGGAATGCGTTAAACAAATGTAACATTTATTGAATTTGAAGTATAGTCTCGGTCAATTTTTCCCCTCAGTTCAGCTTTCAGAGTCTTAGCAAAAATTCCAAACATTTAAGCTTGTGGTTATATGGAGTCCCAGGTACTACTGGCATTGCACAAGAAGTAACCTCCATGCTGTTCATTGAGGATTAACAGCTTTTGGCCATTTAGAGGCAAATGAAATGCAGTCCTCAATTAAATAAAGCTCCTTAAGAATAAAATTAGGTGACAGTACAGGATGAAGGTGTGTGAGAATGTCTTAGTTTAACATACAGTAAGTCCCAAAGCAAAAAGTTCTGTAAAAGACTTACAGATGTATTCTTTATATGCCTATGAGTTAATTTAAGCACGTAGCTTCTCTTTCATGCTCTTTTAAATAGAGTTTCATAGGTATGATTTTCCTAATAATACAAAAGCATCATTTAATGGAGGGGGAAATTCAGTAACATATAATTTTTAATAAAGTTTAACAATGTGATTAGACTTCTTCACCAAATAGTAAAGAATGATAAGAAAAATAAATGGAAAAAAAATAAACAACAAACAAACAAATCCAAAGCAACAACCCAGCTGCATGTAATTAAGTTTTGGAAGCCCCAGTAGGACTTTATTAGTCATGATAAGAAGATGACAAAAGCAGGGCCCAATGCAGGTTGGGTGCATTCCAGTGCTGGGAGGTTTCTGTGACTCTGACGTCGAGTCCAACAGGAGGAAACTGGAAAGGAAGGAAAGGTTGGGATTGACCTGCGGTGATAACAGGAAGGAAGAGAAGCTCTTGAGTGGGCACTGCTGCGATGAAGTAATGGAATCACTGAGAGGAAAAAAATGCCAAGAAAGGCTAGAAGGAGGCAGATGGATGTGTGTCGCATACAGCTCAATCTTGGGGATGAAATATGGAATTTCTCAATCTTACCATAATGCTGCTGTCAACAAATACCTGTCAAACCACGCTGCCAGCACATGTGTTTCAGTTCAGCAGAGCAGATGCTCCACTCAGTGCTGTTCTCAAAACATCTCCACTGAAGATAGTGTGTCTGTTGAAGAGACTTTGCTCATTTTGCATTTTCTCCTAGAAAGCGGTGGGTTTTTTTCTAAGATATGGACAGAAAACAGAGCACTGGAGGATGGCACTGGAAGGCTTTTAGCTTCATCAGTGGATATAAATATCAGAAAGATGTAGTTCAATGGAAATTCTTGTTCTGTAAGTTTGAATAACAAAGATAATTATCAAATAGTTTATTTTGTGCAGCAATGCCCTTCATTTAACGAGCCACGCCTTGAAGAAAACCCAAAAACTTAACAATACACTGCTCTGGCTGTGTATTTCAGGGAATGCTTTAGGACAGCATTCTCTCAATCACAGAATCATAGAATCTTTAAGGTTGGAACAGACCTCCAAGATCATCTAATCCAACCACCACCCACCACCAACATTGCCCGTTAAACCATGTCCCTAACTGCCACATCTTCACATTTTTGGAACACCTCCAGGGATGGTGACTCCACCACTTTCCTGGACAGCTTTGCTACTCTTCTTTAGAAGAAATCCTTCTGCTGTGCTCTCCATTTAAGTGGTATGACCCACGTCTCCCTGGATCTTGCCAGTTATGGGTGGCCTCATGCTCTCCCGTCCTGCAGCAGCACAAGGAAAGTGACTAGACTAACATTCCCTCATTTTCTCCACTAACAAAATCTTCACCGTGGAAAATTTCAGCACGAAGTCTGCATCAGTCACATATACACAGCATACATACCCAGCAATTTATGGGGAATATCAGTTGTGTGTTTCTCTTCCATTCAGATGACTCCCAGTTTGTTGTCCACTCCAGTGACAAAACAGAAATGGAACACGGAGGAGAAAGAATACTGCGTAACAGTTTAAGAACATTATGTGGTGCATCAGGAGATGCACAGTTTAATGTACAATAGGTATATTAAAGAACAAAAGCTCTGTATGTTTTATTTTGTTAAAGCTATTAATATGTCTTGAATTCTAGCTGGTAAGATCTCAGCTTTTGATGAGTTTAATTGGAAACAGCTGTGTCTAAACTGTTTCCACATAAAATGAGAATGATCTTAAAAATGAAAGATTTCTCTGTACACAAATAAAAGAACAATTTGGCCAGATTTAGATTTTGCAATGTTTTTGTTGAGTCATTACTATCTGAAAGAGGCTGGTAATTATATTTTGTGATTAAAATGCAATTCCAGCACTGCCTTAGAAGCAAATAGGCTGAAGTTTCATTGACATCTCATCAGATAAGAAATTAAGCAAAGCAGATCTGCTATTAAAGCCTTAATTTCCCCAATTCTCCCCACTACCAGTGGTCTCAACACACTTCACTAGGATGTTATTTATGTTCTTGAAGGAATTTAGATGTAACAAGGTGAAAATGTAACTCTTGTGAGCAGTGAATAGTCTAAATTACATAGCTCTTAAAAACACCCTTAGGAAAGTTATAGATTGCTATACTTAAAAGAGAGAAAGCTGTAAATGTTTATCATTTTCTTACACAACCTTGGGGTACTTTTCAATTTGCTCCATACTATTTTTTAATATCTAATTCAAATAATTTTCCTTTCTCCTGCTTATTCACATCACTTAAGATTTCTTGAAACTTTTCTGTGTTGTTAAGCAGCCATGCTGCAAGGTGGCTATCATAAATCTAAGCATTATTCCTTCTAGCTGTAGGTGGAGGTATTGGATGTAGAGTGCTGATAGTGGTATCAGGAGTGGTAGTGTAACTCAACTGCTACAAGAACCACCCCTTTCCCAGTCAGCAGGGCATCAGGCCAGTGGTTTTAATGGAAACTGAGCACAGAATGAGCTTTGGGTGTAAGAAAGTATTTCTGGTGTCCTTAAATAAATGTT